CCAATAAAGCACTGTATGCTACCTGTTCATGAAACAATTAAAAAGTCTATGGAGATAGACCTTGAGTTGCTATTTGTCATGCAAGCCCTTTTGTTTTTTATTTCCATGGGACCCTTGAAAATAAACCTTCACAGTATAACAAATGTCTCACTCCCTGAGGCTGGTTTACTTCTAGATGAATCCTGGGAATGTGGATATAGAACATAAAATACACCTGAAGGGTCTCAATCACCAATCTGAAGTGGTTTGGGGGAGACTGCCAGATGGCTTTTATTGTCTTGGACACAGTATTTAACATTCACTGAATATTTCTCAAGCTAAGTCATTGGGATTGGGTTTTAGGATGGTCAATAGAGATAAGGGAGGAGAGCTTTACTATTGTTCTTATATAGTCAGAAAGCATAACAACTCCGGTATTTTAATGCTCATCCCAATATCCTCCTTGAGGGCAGGAATGTATTCCTTTTTTAAACTGTATCTCCAATGCTTGGTTCGTTGCCTCGTGCTTAGTATTTGCTTAATAAATGCTGGTTCAATTAAATTCAGAGTATTCCTGAGCTAGGGATTCTTAACCGGTGTGTATGTGTGATGAATCCCTCTGCTGAAGCATATGGATACCTTCTCAATAATATTGTTAAATTCATAAAATGGGATTATAAAGGAAAGCAATTACATTGAAATAATTATAAATTTTTTTTAATGCTCATAGACTCCAGGTTGAAGATCCCCACACCAAGCTATCATTTGAGACAGAGATATGTCAGGATAGTCAGTGTAGCTTGGAGACAGTTTTCTTCTTTTTGTTCTTCAACTATCAGAAAACATTACCATTCTCTTTTATTTAGGCTTTGTAATTTATCTACTTGGCATTTTTTTGGTATATATTATGTATATACTTATGTTATCTCCCTCACTAGAATATAAGCTCCATAAGGGCAAGGACCAATCTCATTTTTTCTGTTTTTTTGTTTTTGTTTTTTTTGCTTTTAGGCAATTGGGGTTAAGTGACTTGCCCAGGATCACACAGCTAGTAAGTGTCAAGTGTTTGGTCTGAGGCTGGATTTGAACTCAGGTCCTCCTGACTTCAGGGCCGGTGCTCTATCCACTGTGCCACCTAGCTGCCCCTCTCATTTTTCTTTGTATCCCCAACATTTGGCACAATGCCTAGCCCATAGTAAGTGCATAATCTTCATTAATTGAGTCATTGAACATTGAGTAACATCATAGCAGAAAAATATGAGATGGTTCTAAGTTGTGGTACACTAATGTTCAGTAATACTACAATAGATTAAGACACTCAAATATGAGGGATATAAATAACTAATGGAAAGATATTTATGAATTATTCCAAAGCAAAAAAAAAAGGCAAAAAACGGAAGAACAGAGGATGCACTAACAATCATATTAAAGGAAAGTAAGTAGGAATGAATGAACAAGAATCTTGATGGAGATTTAGAGAGAATGATTGAAATTTTTTTTGGCATTTTATGCATTGAAGTTCATTTATTTGAATGCTATATAGCAATCCCAATGGGTTGTAAAGATGTTTAGTTTTTTGGGGTTTTTTTTGTTGTTTGTTTGTTTGTTTGTTTTAAGCAATTGGGGTTACTTGCCCAGGGTCACACAGCTAGTGTCATGTTTTGGTCTGAGGCTGGATTTGAACTTAGGTCCTCCTGACTTCAGGGCTGGTGCTCTATCCACTGTACCACCTAGCTGCCCCAAAGATGTTTAGTATTAAGTAATTTTAAAAAAATACACATATCTTGAGTATATTCTATGTTCCTAGCACTATGTAAGAAATTATGAAGCATTAGACACAAACTCCTATCATTTAATGTTTTTAATCTGGGTCCAAGGATACCCAAGATATCAGTGAATAGATTTCAAAGAGTCTGTATACTTGGAGAAGAAATTACATCCTTATTTCAATATCATTGACTTCCTTGGTAATCCTATGTATTTTATTTATGCATTTAAAAACATAATTCTGAGAAAGGATCTACATGCTTCACCAGACTGCCAAAAGGGTCCATGACAAAAAAAGGTTAAGAACTCCTGTTCCAATGTTGAGATCTAGGGGTATTGGGAACCCCAAAATTCAAGGGCAAACAACACAGGTCCTGCCTCAAATGAATTTGACTTTTAGTCTTTTAGTCAGACAAGGTTTATTAAAACACTAGTTGGGATGGGCAAGATTTTAAGAATCTGAGCTATTTGTGACACTTGTATTCACAAGTGGGCCAGACTCTTAAAGAACCTGAGCATTTTAATGGAGGCAAAATGGACCTTTTATACAGTAAGACTATGGGAAGATCTAGATGTGATCTAGCAGTAGCCAAGTAGTCTAGGGTGACTGGGAGATAACAGACCTGGAGGTTACAGAGAAGGGGTCTAGAACGTCTAGAAGGAATCTAGGAGTGGCAATCTAGGGTGGGGCCAGGTGCCAACAATGAGGGCCACAATGAAAGGGCAATTGAAGGAATTAACTAGGAAGGCCCATATGTCTCAGGCCAATGCTAGGGACCTGGGCCATGTAGGAAAGTCCAGGGCCTTTTAGGGGTCCATCATCAGTGCCCCATCACTAAGGATATGCCATCTTATCGAGGAGATAAGAAGCCACATAAAACAAAATACAAAACGGTATGTAACTGTATTGGTGTATGGCACAAGTAGTCAACAATAGAAGCGATGGGGACACAAAGAAAAGCAAAAACTCAGCCCCTGCTCTCAAGGAGCTCACAGTCTAATGGGAGAGATAAGATAAGAACAACAATGTACTGTTGAAAATTATGGTGACTCGGTATCCTTGCTGCTGCACTACAATGACTCTGGAGAAAAGAGTGAGGATGAAAACTTTGCACAGCTCTGCCTTACTGAGATCCAATTCACTTGCAAGTTAAGACATCACCTTCCTGATGTCATTGGTCCTCTTTGAGAAGGAAGGTCAAACAACAATCTGTAAGTTGTGACAACTGAGCCCTGGGGACCCAACTGGCCAGTTCCAGTTGGGCAATGCTGCTATTTCCTCTCTCCTCCCTTTGTGCAGGTGGGGAGTAATACCTTTACATGTGGTTTTGATTGCTTATACTTCACAGGATATCTTGGGGTTTGGGTGCTAGATTTATTTTTTCTTCCCTATTTACTCATTCTGATTAAAAAAAAACTGGAACAATTAACTCTTTTGTAGTTTTTTGTAGTTTTCATCTATGATTTCTTGAAATATAGCTCTGGTAAACCAGGCTTTAATAAAGCCCATTGGGATTCAAATGGAGCCACTTGACTGTGCCTTTAAACACAGATCACTCTGGCTTTTACTAACTGACCAATAATGGGTCCCAGCCCAAGCCTCACTAGCTCATTTGTTGGGGTTTTGATGGCTTAGACTGAGTGTAAATAGCAATTGTTTCTGTTCTCACCAGAAACTCTAAGGATCTTCTCCACCCAGATCGATTCCTTTGGGAATTCAAACTAGGCCATCTTTTGCCTCAATTCTTACCTAATCTTTAATCAGTGAATGGATGTTGCCTCAGAAAAACTGAGTCTGGAAAAGACCTTAGCTTTAAAAGTCCAGGGTTTTCCACTGCATACAGGGCCACCACCAGTCATCCTGACCTATGTCTTGCCACTGAACTATGATGATTCTGGAGAAGAGAGGGAGGCTGATGACTTTGCACAGCCCTGCCTCACTGAAATCCAATTCACTTGCAAATCAAGACATCACCCTCCTGACATCATCGGTCCTTTTCAACTCAGTATTACATGCTCTTTGTCATGTACCCCACCTGCAAATAGTCAACGTTCTTGCTACCAGCTTGGGAAGTGAGATACAAGGGTCCCACCTCTTTTGCTAAAATGGATCTATCTGGATTGTCTTAAAGTTACCTACAAAAGCTGTCCCCACCTTGAAGACATTGCTGATCTTCTAGTCCATCAATGTGTTGTCACCTTGACATACTTACAATAAACTCCTTTTAATTATCTGTCCTGAGCTTTGCCTTATTAATCAGGGTGAAAGCCCAAATGAATTTTCTTTCAACAGACAAAAAAAAGTACACAGGATAAATTGGAGATAATCAAGAGGGAAGGCACTAGCATTAAAGGGGATTGAGAAAGATTTCTTACAGGACATTTCTGCTGAGACTTGAAGGAAAGTGTGAGCTGGTGAAAACTGGTTTGATTGACATATCCCCAAACCCTGAAGATGTCATATATGCCAAGGCTAATCAACCTAGAAACTGGGCTTTACCCTCTCTCACCTTTGGCCTCTTGCCAGAATGGTATTGTTAGGATTTAGTTTCCTAGGTCCCTGTTCCTCATTCCTCACTCCCTATTAGGGTAATTTATAAAATAAACTCATTTTTACTGGTTCTATAGGTAATAGGGCTGTCATTGTGTCATGCTATCTTTGTCTAAAACTATCAGTGTGAGGGGCAGCTAGGTGGTGCAGTGGATGGAGCACCGGCCCTGAAGTCAGGAGGACCCGAGTTCAACTCTGGCCTCAGACCAAACACACTTGACACTTACTAGCTGTGTGACCCTGAGCAAGTCACTTAACCCCAATTGCCTAAAAACACCCAGAACTGTCAGTGTGAGCCTGAGGTTGCTGGACCTTCAAATGGAGTGTGAAAGCCACTATCCCACCAGCCCTCCCTCAATTAAATCTAATTCACTTGCAAGTCATGGCATAACCTCCCTCTTGACATGGTCCTCTTCCAGAATGAAGGACATACAATAACCTCTGTTTAGTTTTCAGTAGAAATTTAGGAGGAATAAGAGCTGTCCCACTGAGTGGAATTGGCCACTTGGGCAACACAGCTCTCTACCTTTCTTTTCTATTTCCCTTCCCTCGATCCACAAAGGGTATCATATGCTTACCTGCAATTAAGTTGTCTAAGGCTGGATTTCAACTCAGATCTTTCAGATTCCAGATCTAGTGATATTATCTACTGTACTAGCTAGCTCATGATTTAAATATAAACAAAATACTGACACCAAATAAGTAAAATTTAAAAATTTCTTTATGTATATTTATATTCAAGAAAACATGAACGGTTTAAAAATGTGACATATCAACTTTATCTTCTCTGATACAGAAGATTTGTATCTTATAGGACACTTTTGCTAAGTGCTGTTAAAATTCAAGTTAGAAGTAAAGAGTGGGGAGGAAGAGGATGAATTTACCTAAAAAAGCTTAAAAACAATTTCCTCAGAAGTCTTTTTGAGTGGTAGTGGAGAAACCTGACTGAGAGTTCTCTTATATCAGGCAATTTGGACAAGGAAACTTTGGATTGACTTGGAGGGTAGGTGATCTATTTGTATTCCTGCTTGAGGCTTTCATTAGTTACGTCTGTTTCAATTACAAGCTGGTCTAACAACAAGATTATCAAGCCAAGTGGGGAACTAAAGTAGCACCTTCAGATGCAGCTAATAAAACAAAAACAGTATCTGCAGCCAGTGACAGAATCACAATGTCTAAGGTCAATTAACCCAGAAATTTCTTTTGATCCTCCTTCAACTATCTTCCTATTGTTAAAGTATTTCTTCTCCCAGATTTAGGTTAAAACTAAATCCTTCAAACATTGTTTGCTAGCTTCTGTTTCCTAGATTAGAACCATGCCTTCTTTCCTAAGGAGAATGGTTTATATCCGGCATTTCTGATTCTGTGGCTCCTCGTATTGACAATTTTGCTCCTGCTTCCCCTGGTACTATTGAATGACATAAGCCTTGTCGGCCCTTATATACCCAAATTTCCATTATTATACGGCCCCACTTTGCAAGGCCCCTAGTTCAGAACTCTAAACTGGGAGAATTGCCTTCATGGTGCTGAGGTTCCAGATATTAGAGAAGATGAAGTATTCATAAGCAGAATGGAAGAAAAAATCCAGTATGAAGGCCACAAAGAAAATAATTTCAAAGACAGTACAAAGAAATCAATATTAAGACTTGGGTGGATAGAAGTATGCAACACAGAGCAGAATGGCAATATTTCAGAGTTGGAAGGGACCTCTGCAGCCACTTAGTACAAAGCCCCAAGGCATGACTTAACATTCCTGACAAGGGGTTATCCAGCTTGACTTGAAGACCTCTAATGAGAGTGAACACAATATCTCCTGAAATAACCCATTACACTTTTGGACAACTTTATATATTTAGAATTTTCTTTTCCTAATTTCAATTTTCTACTTTCCTCTTTGCAATTTTTATCCATTTTTTTTCTGGTTCTGAGGAAGAAACTCTATACCATCAGAATTATACAACAGATAGATGGCTCTTTTTACAAAAGGTGATTCTGGACATGCTAAAACACTAGCCAAGATCCACAGAACACCAGGCAGGGATTTTCAGATATTAGCAAGTATTAAGAATCTTCCTATTTGCCTGTTTTGATAGTGAAGGATTTATGGAGAAAAATAGGAGGTGTACTTGTCTTCCTGGAGAATTCTTACATATTGATGAATGAGTCCATTATCCTAGTTAATGGAAAAAAAATAAAACTTCATGGTCTGGTGTTCTTAATTGCCCTGGTCAATAAATATGTGAAATTTAAATGTTCAACCATACAAAATATTAAGGAAATATTGACATTTTCTAGGTTCCCTTTTAATAGGAAAATTTTTAGTCATGATCTGCAGAAGTTGGTCCAGGGCAGTTCAAAGATAAATCTTCTTCATCTGTAATTAGAGAAGGAAAAAAAATCTTTTAAAATTACTTATGACTATAACTAGTCTTATAAAAAGGTTACAGTAGTATATATATCACACTCTCTCTCTCTCTCTCTCTCTCTGTGTCTCTCTCTCCTATCATCCTTTATCTTTTCTGCCCTTTGTAGCTAAATTCCTCAAAAAGGCTGTCATCCATAGGTACCTCCACTTTCTCTCCTCTCACTCTCTTCTTAATCCCTTACAATCTAGCTTCTGACCTTATCATTCCACTGCCCCAAACTGCCCCAAAGTTACTAATGACCTCTGAGTTGCCAAATCCAAGTCTTCTCTCAATCTTCATTCTCCTCAATTTCTTTGCAGCCTTCAACACATTCTTCCTTGATATTTTCTTTTTTCTAGGCTTCCAGGACACTCCTTTCTCCTGACTTTCCTCCTACCTATCTGCCCCTTCCTTCTTTGTCTCCTTTGCCAATTCATCCTCCACATCACACCCTTTAACTGTAGGTATCCCTCAAGGTTCTGTCCTGGGTCCCCTTCTTTTCTCTCTCTATACTACTTCACTTGATGATTTCCATCAGCTTCCATGGATTTAGTCACCAGCTTTATGCTAACGACTCGCAAGTGTACCTTTCCTGACTCAATTTGTCTGCTGACCTCCAATCTCACATCTTCAAATGTTTTTCAGACATCTTTAACTGGATGTCTGGGAGATACTTTACACTCAATAAGTCCAAAACAAAACTCATTATCTTCACTATAACTGTCAAGGGCAACTCTCCCAGTGCCTCAGGCTTGAAACCTAGAAATTATCCTGAATTCCTCACTATCTCTCACCCCCATGTCCAAACTGTTGCCAAGTTCTGACAATTTTACCTTTACAACATTTCCCAAATGAACCCTCTTCTCTCCTCTGACATTACCACCATTCTAGTGAAGCTCTCATTACCTCATGCCTTGATTACTCCAATAGTCTGCTGCTGGGTCTGCTTGCCTTAACTCTCTTCTCACTTCAATCCATTCTTCATTCAGTCACTAAAATTTTCCTAAAATGTAAGTCTGATCGTGTCACCCTCCTACTCAATAAACTCCAGTGGCTTCCTATTGCCTCCAAGTACAAATACAAAATGCTCTGTTGTCATTCAAAGCCCTTTATAAACCTAGCCCCCTCCTACCTTTCCAGTCTTCTTACACTTATCCCCCAACACATACACATTGAACCAGTGACAATGGCCTCCTAGCTATTCCATGAACAAGTCACTCCATCTCTTGGCTCTGAGTATACTCTCTGGTTATCCCCCAGGCCTGGAATCCTCTCTCCCAACTACACTCTGACTACTGACCTTCTTGGCTTCCTTTAAGTCCCAACCAAAATCTTACTCCCTGTATGAGACATCCAAGTTGCTGTCTTAGGTAGAAGACTCAGTCCATGATCTGTTCTGGGTAATCCAGCATCCCCACACTTGGGGCTCTGGGCACTAAGTCTACATTCTTTCTTCTTTTTTGGAAACCCCATGCTGCTTTTCTGGTCCAGAGGCTAAGTCTAAGGTTAGCTCTAAGCATCCCCTCACTTCTGGTCCAGTTTAGAGTGAGTCCATGATCAGTTCTGTGTTTTCCTAAGCTACTGGCCTAGCCTGGAGCTCTGATCACTGAGTCCATGAACCTGTCTACCCCTGTTCCACAGTTGCTGTCCTGGTTACTTGGGTATAAGCTGAATTTGTATTCTTGGGAACCTTAGTTTCTCCTTTGATTTCCCAATCACTTCTCTGTCTGGTGTCATTCTTAGACTGTTGGTAGAACAATTGAGGGGTGGGACTGGGGAGATGTGGAGCTAGGCTATACTGCTTTCTCCTACTCTGCCATCTTGGCCTGCTCACATATCTTCAAAGACTATAAATTACATGTGTGATCTTTGTCATCTCAAGGAGTTTCCACACAGACAAAATTATAAGTCTTGACACAATGATGTACATACTCTTATTAAAGACAGATGCCTATGTAACTAAATATCAATATCCTCAGGTGTGCTGGGATCTTTCCCTACCCTATTGTGCAATCCTAAATAAAAACCAAACTTCATTCAGGGCTTTTATTATTACTAAAATAAATAATTTTTAAAGATAAAGTTAGCAAATGCAGCTTAGACAAATGTAACCACCATTTCATGATGAGGCACGCTTTTCTACTGATCGTCACAATTTTGAGAAATACTAAATGTTTAGTGTACCAGATGTTATATGTTTTTCAAGTATCTATAACAGAAGGAAGTATCTTTAAGCATGAAAAAGACCTAGATTTTTTTAGACTCCTAAATCTATTTCTTTTGGACATTTCAGTTGTGTCCAACTCTTTGTGACCCCATTAGGGGTTTTCTTGGTATGCTTTGCCATTTCCTTCTCCAGCTCATTTTACAGATGAGGAAACAGGCAAACAGGGTTAAGGGACTTACCTAGAGTCACGCAGCTAGTAAATATCTGAGGCCAGATCTGAGCTCTGGAAGAGGAGTCTTCCTAACTTAAGGCCCAGCACTCTATGCACAACACTACCTTGCTGCCCCTCTTTAGGAACGCATGAATGCAAAATTTTCCTGTAAATGTAGTTATCTTGAAAGTTATCAATTTCAAAGAGATCATTAAGTACTTCTAATCTTTCCTATTTCATTATGAGTTGAATCACCAATCAATGGTTGAATTGAGAAATGCATATAAACTTAGTGAAGTGACTTTAAAAACAAATGAGAATATTTTAAAGTATTAATGGCAAAAAAGAATTATCAAATCAATGTAAAACATATATACATTGTACGTGTTTTATATGCGTACATACACACACATGTACATTACATATGTGAGTATGTGTGTATACACAAGTATATGAACATGTATATGTGTATAACAAGATCTTTTTACCTTCATAGGTTGTTCCACACCAAATACAATACCGATGTTCTTCTCTTAAATATCTTGTCAGAATTTGTAATTTTTCCAATACCTAAAAGACAAAATAAGACACTTCATGTAGTGGACCCCTTAATCACTGCTACATATCCGATTATACACAATCAACTAAAACCAAATTACACACACGCAGCCAACTAATACCATCACTGTCTGCTACTTCTTTCAATGACCTTTTAGTTGGCTAGGGTTTGGAAGTAACAAATTAATAATGTATCTTGATGTAACTTTGGCCCAAATGCATAGCTCTTTAATTCTCTTGCATGTGAAAAAACTTATCCTCAAAATAACTGCTGTCTTCTGCTAAGGAACTACGCATTGAATAAATTCACTATGACTAAACTAAACAGAACCAGTTCAAGGGATTATTCTCAAACAAATGTGTATGAAAGTGACAATATTTTTTACTAGACTCCAACTTATCCTCTTTGTGGAGAAAGTCATTTTTTAAAGAAGTTTTTTTTAAACAAATCAAGTAAAACAGCACACATTTGAAAATAAAATAAATTCTTTTCTTTGTGTAGATATTAATTCCAAGGATAAATATTCTTTTTTGGTAGATTTGGAAGTGGCATAACCAGGTTTGAAATACAGCTTCACCATTTACTTGTTGTATGGCCTTCAACAGGTTAATTAGCTTCTCTGTGCCTTAGAATCCTCCTCTGTAAAATGGGCATAATCCATGGACTATGGACCTCATAATGTAATGGGAGATTCAAATGAATAACATATGTAAACTAATTTACAAGCTGTAGAGAGCTATGAAAAAATCAATTGTTATTTGCTTTCTTTTTTTGATCACACTTTGAGGGAAAAGCCTCATTAAAGGCTCTTTTAGAGATTCAGTAGAGGCAAGAAAAGAATATAAAACTAAACTCAAGCACCAAAGATACTTATCAAAAGTGCAATAAAAAGTTTGAAGAGGGAAATTAAAACTCCTGCTTAAAATGACTCTCAATTATCTGTAGATTTAATATCAAAAATCAAAATTTGACTAAAAATCCAAATTAATTTAAGCCCCTTAACTGATACCGAGAAAACCACAAAGGCTTTCATTAGAAAATAAAAAAAACTAATTTAGGATCAAAACTTACACTTAATTCTTCACCACTATATTCATCTTCTTCCTGTTCTTTCTCTCCTTTCTCTTCTTTCTCTTCCTGTTCTTCTTTTTCTGGCATGAACCAGTACCATGGTTCCTTGGGAACTTGAATATCCTTAAAACAAGTATTACTTGAGCTACAGTATATGACAGTTATCATTTATGAGACCATTAAAAAAAGTACATTAATTTATGTCAATTACTTCCATATTAACTTAGGAACTCATAAATAATCATACTACTTCAAGGTAACTCATTTTTACTCTATTGGTGTTAAAGGACATGAGATAGGATCCTAAGTTTAAGTAGAATTTAATACATAATTTAACTAAAAGAGTCAATTTGAATAAAAAAGATTTAATATATAATTTGGACATGCTAAAGAAACTGTGTTGGTTAAAAGACAACCTAGCATACATAATCAACTTTTCTGAACTCAATTATAAGTAAAAACAAAACAAAAAACCCTAGTATTAAAATTCTGTTAAACATAATTTAATCTTCCTTTGTTGATCTCGAAGGTGCTTAGAGATTTTGAAGTGTCTCAGTCATCATCACTGCCAACCAGCACTGGACTATGAGTATTTAATAGAAAATTCTGTTGAGTAATGTTGAACAAATATTAATATTTTTAACATTTAATATTTTTGTGAATTCTTTTTGGTGATGATATGTTAGCTTAAATGCTAAAACAATCTGCCCACCTGAAAACAAGATCAGAGGCTTACCTTCTGTGTGTCTAACTGATGGCAGGCTCTCTGACTTCTTTTAAGATCACCTTCTAACTTAAGTTCTTCTTTTTTACTTTTGAGTCTCAATCTGATTAAAAGAAGAAACTGTACTTGTGTCAGATTTCTATCAGTTCAAATATTTTTGTACATACCGATGCCAAGAAACGTATCTTAGTAGGTAAAGAGGAGATAAGATTTTTGTTTAAAATTAATTTATTTTTAGTTTTCAACATTCACTTCCACAAGATTTTGAGTTCCAAATTTTCTCCCCATCTCATCCCTCCCCCCTATCCCAAGATGGCATGCATTCTGAATACCCCTAATTTGCCCTCCCTTCTATCTCTCCCCCACTTCTTTTATCTTCTTCCCCTTCAATTTTCCTATAGGGCAGGATAGATTTCTATACCTCATTTCCTGTATATCTTATTTCCCAGTTGCATGTGAAAACAAATTTTTTTAAACTTTTTCTGGGTTTTTTTTTTAGTGAGGCAGTTGGGGTTAAGTGACTTGTTAACTTTTGTTTTTAAAATTTTGGGTTCCAAATTTTCTCCCTTCCTCCCTCCCCACCCACCCTCATTAAGAAGGCAAGCAACTCGATGCAGGTTATACGTGTATAGTCATACAAAACACTTCCATAGTAGTCATGTTGTGAAAAACTAAGTATATTTTCCATTCATCCTATCCTGCCCCCCATTTATTCTATTCTCTCTTTTGACCCTGTCCCTCCTTAGAAGTGTTTGCTTCTGATAACTCCCTCCCCCAATATGCCCTCCCATCTATCATCAAGAGGAGGTAAGATTTTAAAAGAGGGAAAATTAAAACAGGAAATGTTCTACCGAAACTGATCTGCAGCTTTTTCTTCAGTTTGGTTTCTCAAAAGAACTTTTTTTCGGTAATTTTCCAGTTCTTCCTCTGCTTTCCGTTTTATTAATGTCTCATGACCAATGCCACTCCTTCCTATTCAAATTAGGAATTACAATGAGAGAGCCTATTTTTCTCATGTTAACATATTACACTTTATATTTGTAGAAGTTATAAGTATATAGATAAAAATTTCAATCATTCAAAGAGTATTTGAAGAAGTTTCATGGGAGAAAATATACATTTGTCTAGTTTCAAAACTTCTGAGAATAAGTTGAACCTCAGATAGAAAAGTAAAATAGGGAGGCAGCTAGGTGGCACAGTGGATAGAGCACTGGCCCTGGAGTCAGGAGGACCTGGGTTCAAATTCGGCCTCAGACACATAACACTTACTAGCTATGTGACCCTGGGCAAGTCACTTAACTCCATTGCCTAGCCACCAAAAAAAAAAAAAAGAAAAAAAAAGTAAAATAGGACTTATAGTAATACTACTCAAACTATAAAATCATGAATTTAAGAGATTATTTTTTTTAGGAAAACATGGTAATGACTTTCATGTTTGCACCCAAAACAAACTGAATAAATATTGTTGAACTGACATATGAACTAATACTGAAAGCTTCTGAATCTTAAGTTATAGCCCATATATTATAGAAAATATGTAATGCTGAAATCTGTCTTTGTGATTTCCTTCATAGAATTTCAATAACTAAAATATATGTTATTCAAGTAGTGTTATAAAAAAATTTTAAAATCAGTTTTCATGGTTTTAAAACTGCCTTAGTCATAGCTAAAATTTATTGTATTTTCAACTTGAAAATTTATGGGCTTCCTACTGGCTTTAAACATTTACTTTACATTTATTTAGATAAAGATCAGTTTCCAAAACTATCAGGAAAAAGTATTTCCTAAGTGTTTCTGGCCTGACATCACCATATGAGGGAATTGACTTGTGAGAAAAAACAAACTTGGCTAATATCTGTACTTGAAATTAAAATAATGATCAATTCAGAAACAGTTACATACCTGTTTTGATATTCAGAGGAATAGGTTCAACAATGCCACTGCCTGAAAAAAGTAGGAAAAAAATGTTTTAGAAGTTTTCTTTTCAAACCACATATAAATGCTTTATGCAATCAGATAAAATTGCATATTGAAAGCACCATGGCCAGTAAAGTACAAGGAAATTGGAAGAGTTTGGAAAGGAAGAAGTGAGGAAACAATTAGAAAGATTGCTGATAAATGGATTTCTGCCTGTGGAAGGGATTCTGATTATGTTAAATTAGAGTAGGGATATTCTAATTTTGAATTAAAAGTAAGTAAGGAGTTAGATAATTCTAAACTAAGAAAATGTGGGAGACCCATCATTAATAAATTAAGCCTTTATCAGGGAATTTATAGAGATGAAGGTCTGGACTTGCCTATTGAACAGAGATGGCCACCAGCAATTTGCCCACATCTGTTAGCCACAAAGTTTAATTAACAGAGTTACAAACAGCCTAGAATCTTGCTACAAGTATAGGCAAGAGAAATTTTGCAATGACTTGTAGAAAGTGTGCTATATTTGTGTTTCTGCCAGTACCAAGTAACAGAATCACAGAACTGGAAGGTATCTCAGAGGCCAAGCAATTCAATCCACATATAAACTATGAGTTTATATGTTCTGAGTTCTGAGTCCTCAGAAATGACTACATTAAGGATGACATGGTAGTGGTAGTAGGTAGTCCACAAAAAGACCAGTGAGGTAGGGATCAGGGAACATTAACTATCTCAGGTTAAAAATGGTATGTATGGAAGATGGAAGAAAAGGCAGGTATGTAACTAAGGATGAATATAAAAGTAGTACAGTTGCGTAAGAATAATGTCAAAAGCTTAATAAAGCTCAGAATGAACACAGAATGGCAATTAATGCTAAGAGTTACAAAAAGTTTTTTTCCCCAAAGTTTTAAAGTTATATTTGAGGTAAGACGATGATCAAAGAAAGGGCAGGGCCTCTACTCTGACAAGATGGAATAATAACCAACAATAACCAAAGGCTGAACTCCTCAGCATTATTTTTGCATGTTTTCTCTTCTAAACAAAATAAATCCCCGGACTAAGAGATACAGGACAAAGATGGTTAAAAAGGGAATTAAACAGGGTTTTTAAAAAATACATTAGGGGCAGCTAGGTGGCGCAGTGGCATAATACCTCCTAGCTGTGTGACTCCTGGCAGGTCACTTAACCCCAATTGCCTCACTAAAAAAAAAAATTTTATATATATATGTGTATATTTAAAAGAGCTGTGAGCTCTTTCATCCAGCGTGCACTTGCTTCCACCCTGCCTCCAGGTGTGGCAAACACCCCCCTTCTCTCAAGGGTTTTTAAGCTTGCCACTTCAAAGTTTGCCATGGATGATGATATTGCTGCTCTGGTTGAAAATGGCTCTGGAATGTGCAAAGCTGGCTTTGCAGGAGACAATGCACCTTGGGCTGTCTTCCCTTCCACTGTTGGGCGCCCCAGACATCAGTGTGTGATGGTGGGTATGGACCAGAAAGACAGTTATGTGGGGGATGAGGCCCAGAGCAAGAGAAGTATTCTGATCCTGAAGTATCCCACTGAACATACCAACTGGAATGACATGGAGAAGATCTGGCACCATACTTTCTACAATGAGCTCCGTGTGACCCCAGATGAGCACCCTGTGCTGCTTAAAGAAGCCCTCCTGAACCCCAAAGCCAACAGAGAAAAGATGACTCAGATTATGTTTGAGACCTTCAACACCCTACCCACGTATGTTGCTATCCAGACTGTGCTGTCCCTGTATGCCCCTGGTCATACCACTGGTATTGTGATGGACTCTGGTGATGGTGTGACCCACACTGTGCCCATCTATGAAGGCTGTGCCCTACCTATGCTATCCTCCATCTTGATCTGGCTGTCTGTGATCTCACAGACTACCTCATGAAGATCCTGACCGAGAGAGGGTACAGTTTCACTACCACAGCTGAGAGGGAAATCGTGCGTGACATCAAGGAGAAGCTATGTTATCTCGTCCTACACTTTGAACAGGAGATGGACACTGCTGCATCTAGCTCCTCTCTGGAAAAGAGCTATGAGCTTCCTGATGGTCAGGTTATCACCATTGGCAATGAGAGGTTCAGATGCCCAGAAGCTCTCTTCCAACCATCTTTCTTAGGTATGGAATCCTGTGGAATCCATGAAACTACCTTCAACTCAATCATGAAGTATAATGTTGACATCCATAAAGATTTGTATGCCAATACCATATTGTCTGGTGGTACCACCAATGTACCCAGGCATTGCTGAGAGGATGCAGAAGGAGATTACAGCCCTAGCTCCCAGCATAATGAAAAATCAAGATCATTGTCCCACCTGAGCACAAATACTCTGTCAGGATTGGAGGCTCCATCCTGGCGTCTCTTTCTACCTTCCAGAAGATGTGGATCAGCAAGCAGAAGTATGATGAATCTGGGCCTTCCACTGTCCACTGCAACTGCTTCTAAATGAATTGTTTGTGGGATTTTTTTTGTCAAAGGGTGTGACATGATAATTGCCCCCCCAAAAAAGAGATGAGATTGGCATGGCTTTGGGGTTTTTTGGGGGGGGCACTTGAGTCAGGATATAAAAACTGGAATGGTGAAGGTGATCAGCAGTCTAAGTATGTTGGAGGCAAACATCCCCAAAGTTCCACAAGGTGTCTTCAGGACTCTGATTGTACATTTGTCAATCATTCCAAATATTTTACAATGCATTGTTACAGAGTTACAAGCCTCTATGAAGGCTGTCCTCTGCTAGAGCAAAGGAGCTCTATATAGGGAGGTGAGAAGGTAGTAGTAATGCTTTACATGTAAATTATTTAATCCTTTAAAAAAAACCTTTTTGTATCTTCCACCTTAATACTTGTTCCTTGTTTTTTAAATTGTCAGCCATAATGAATGGCCCCCTAAATTCCTTCCCTGCACCCAACATAGATGTGAATGAAGACTTTACAATCTCCCTGTGAATTTTATGAGATTGGTGCCAGTACTTGGGGAAGGGGAGGAGCTTTACCTGTACAGTGACTTAAGACCAGTTAAAATAAAAGTGTACATGTTAAAGAAAAAAGATATACATATATACATATATACATATGTGTATTATATATTTTTTTCAAAAGGTGGAGGAGGCAGAGAGAGAAAAGATCAATACTTCTTAATTGATTTTTTTTCCTTTTTGGTGAGGCAATCGAGTTAAGTAACTTGCCCCAGGTCACACAGCTAGTAAGTGTCAAGTGTCTGAGGTCAGATTTGAACTCAGGTCTTCCTGACTCCAAGGCTGGAGCTCTATCCACTGTACCACCTAGCTGCCCTCTTAATTGATTTTTAAAGGGAACTGAATCCCAAGATAAGTGAGAAGAAAGGAGGCAGCATGGCACATTGAGAAGAGAACTGGATCTGGAATCAGAGTACCTGGTTTTGAATCCTGGCTCTGGTACCTGCTACCCATGTGACCTTGGACAAGGCACTTACCCTTTCTCCATCAGTTTTCTCACTTGTAAAATGAAAAGGTTGGATTAAATATTGCTAAATGTCCTTCCAGCTCTAAATCTGTATTCTATTTATTACCCTCTGGTGAAAGGGCACAACACAACCCTTAATGAGTTCAAGTCACTAGGCCCACACTACCTCTTAACATATTTAAAGAACTGACTTAATGATGTGATGGCTGCACTAAAGTTATTAAGCTATGAAAGATTATGGAGAATAGGCTTGGAGAAGGGCAAATGTCCTCATTTTCAGATGAGATACAGTTTGCAAACCCTAAGTCAGTAAGTTTGAGTCTTGTTCCTTGCAAAATTCCTGAATTTATGGTTTGTGAAAACTTAGAAACTATTGATCGTTATAAGTGAGAACAGCCTCAAAACTAGACCATGTCAAACTAATCTCATCTCCTTTTTTGATAGTGTAATTGGATTAGTGGATCAAGGTAACGCTACAGAGAAAGTATATTTATATTTCATCAAAGCATTTGACAAAAGTCTCTCATGCTGTCCTTTAAACTGGAGAGACATGAGATAGTTGACAGCACAGTTATATGAAAAAAACAAAAACAGAAAAACTAGTTGAATGATAAGAAGCAAAGAGCAGTTCTTAATGGATCAATGTCAACTTGAAAAGATATGTATAGTGCAATGCCCATGGGATCTGTCTTTGGCATTATGCTATTACATATTTTTATACATAACTTGGATGAAGGCACAGAGGGGAAACAAGGAAAGAATTCATGATCGTGGTTCAGAAGTAGTTAAGAAAATGAGAGATTGAGGCAAGTGCTGTACAGGGAAGGGGAGTTGGAGTGGACAGATGACTTCTAAGATTCCTTCCAGCTTTGATCCTATGATGTCTCTGGCCTTCAGTTTTTTCTCAAGCATTCTAAAAGTTATTACTCATAAAAATTTCAATTTTCAATGAAAATTTCAATTAGAATGATTTAGTTTTCATAATATAACTTACCACTCTTGCCAAGAGCCTGTCCACTTTTATACCCCATCTTTTGGAGCAAAGCAAATCCCTTGTTTTCACTGCCCAAAGCACTCTTCAAAACATTATCACGTCTTTCTTTTTCCTCTTCTTTTAAACTCTTTTGTCTATTTTTTAGATTTGCTTCCCGATGCTTTTCTTCTTTTTGATGAGCCTCTCTGATTCGCCTCAACATGGGCAATCCAGGTCTGATGTCTTCTCTAAACACCAACATTATGGTTAATAACACAGGCAGCCTGTGCTTTTTTGACACTTAGTATTACATGAATTTGATTATTTATTTCTCATTGCCTTTACCCATTCATTTATTGTTTCCATTTATAACACCAAAATGTATGTTAAAAATAAATAATAAATTTTAAAAAGAAAACAAAGAACACAAAACATATATGAAAGCAATAAACATTGTTTGATTTTCAGTAATGTCTGGCATTCTAAAAAGACTTCACATGTATTATTTTGAGGTAAATAACGTAATACTTATTATGTTTATTACATTATTATTACATTATATATTACATTTATTATGTTTATTACATTATTGTTACATTATGTAGAAATAATGTCAATAGTATCTTTATAAGGAGGATATAAATTTGAAGTCTCATGGGGAATTAACTTATTCAACTAAATTAATTACTGTCTAGAAATCATATGTAACACATAGGGAATGAGGCCTGAAATATTATTGCAGCTGTGACAATGAGAAAGAAATGTGACACATTTTTTAAGGAAAAATGAACAGTAATTGGTGACTGATGGGATGTAATTATTCTTGCTGTTAATATTATTGGAAATGAGAATGAAAAATAGGATGAATCAAAAATGCCATCAAATTTCTAAGCCTGGGTGACTGAGGAAAGGATGTCACTGACAATGAAAAGGAAACAAATGGAGATAGTGCTGAGAGGGAATAAGTTTAGTTTCAGACTAAGTCTGAAATGAGACAGAAGGACTCTTAAGAAGAAATATTAGTAGTCAATTGAAAATTAGGATTGAAACTCAGGGGAAAGGACAGAACTAGAGCTAGAGATCTGAAGGGGTCTTTTGCTTAAATATTTTTCTTCATTACAAGAGTAGGTTCAGTTGAAGGGATCATGATTATGATCTAAAACCAAAAGGATTCAATAAAACTTACTTAAAAAAACCCCTCAAAACTAGTATCTTTCTTGTCTCCTTGTCTAGTGAATTATGTTCAATTCTGGGCTCCACATTTTAGGAAAGACATTAACTAGATGAGACCTGAGGTCCCTTCTAGCTCTAAATCAATGAAATATGAAGTATATGAAGGGTTATCATGAGGCAGGGAGATTAAACTTCTTGGTTCTAGAAGATAGAACTGTTAACAACAACAAAAATGGATGAAAATTGTAGAGGCAGATTTAGGGTGGATATTAAAAAAACAAACAAAAACGATTGCTGTGTGACCCTGGGCAAGTCACTTAACCTCAACTGCCTCCAAAAAATAAAAAATTTTAAAAACATCCAAAACCTCTTAAGAATTAGAGCTGACCGCACATTCCTGAGATCCCAGGTCAAGGAGAAAATACTATAAGCAGCCTGAAAGAAACAATTCAAATATCATCACGATCACAGTCAGGATCACACAAGATTTAGCAGATTCCATGTTAAAAGAGTAGAGGGCTTGGAATAAAATATTCTGAAATGCAAAAGAGCTAGGTTTACAACCAAGAATAACCTACCCAGTAAAACTGAGTGTAATCCTTCAGGGAAAAAAATAGAGGACAGCTTCAGAAAAAGCTGGGAAGACCTAAATGAATTGGTGCAAACTGAAGTGAGCAGAACCAGATCACTGTACACAGTAACAGCAATATTGTAATGATGATTGACTGTAAAAGACTTACTCTGATCGAAATGCAATGATCCAAGACAAATTTGGAAGGACTCATGATGAAAACTACTATCATTTACAGAGAAAATATTGGTGAACTCTGAGGACAAATTAAAGTATAATTTTCTCATTTTCTTTATTTTTCTAGTTTTTTTGGTAACATGTCTAATATGCAAATATGTTTTGAATGATTTCACAAGTATAATGGGTATGTTATTGCCAACTTTCTCAGTGTGGGGGAGGGGTGGAGGAAGGGAGAGACGTTGGAACTCAGAATTTTAAAAAATGTTAAAAATAAATAACTTTCTTTAAAAATAAAAAAAGAATTAGAGCTGATCCAAAGTAGAATGAGTAGCCTTGGAAGGTCTTCAAGCAAAGGACAGACTACCACCTGTAGAGACTGCAGAGGAGGTTCCTGTTCAGGTGTGAGTCAGACTGGATGGATGTAGGATCTTACTAATTCTGAAACTGTAAGATAGTGATATGAGTTTGAATTATAGCTCTCTTAAATACTTGAGAAAATTACTTCCCTTCTTTGGGCCTCAACTACTATTTCTATAAAATAAGAGCATGAGACTGGGTGAATTCTAACCAAACTTCCAGGTTGAAATCTTGTAATACTATAGTTTTCCCTTTTGGTTTCCTTTTCCTTTTCTTTTTTTTCTTTAGGCAACTGGGGTTAAGGGACTTGCCCAGGGTCACACAGCTAGTAAGTGTCAAGTGTTTGGTCTGAGGACATATTCGAACTCAGGTCCTCCTGACTTCAGGGCTGGTGCTCTATGTACGGTGCCACCTAGCTGCCCCTCCTTTTCCTTTTCTTGTAAATCACTCATTATTGTCATATACAACGTGAACAGATAAGATACACATTTACTTACTTCACATTAATGAAGGAATCAGACATATAGTCTTCTTCTTCTGCCATGTTCACTTCAGCTCTGAGCTTCTTTATGGCACTTTTAGCTACAAAAAGGAGTTAAATGAAGTTGTAATTATTGTTCAATTCTTTTTCAGAAACTAAAATAAACATATACTTAAGTTAACAAGGAAAATTTGAGCCCTTTGAATATGTTACTGTCAATTTCACAGTGTCAATGTCTTTCAAAAGATTAATTCAGTGATAGAAATTACCTCAAAATATGAATTTTAAAAGGCATATTCCCACTTCTGATTTGAATCTGCATTAAAACATGACGACAAATGATTAATGGCTCCAATGCATGGCAAAAAGCAAGAATAAAGTGGTTCATGGAGACTTCTGAAAAATGTCTAACAGACTAAACAATTTGGCAAACCACTGTTATAAATCCAATTCAAAAAGCACTTATTGAGTATATACTATGTCTAAGGGCACTATGCTAGGCATAAGAGATCAAAATGAAAATGCAAAATAGTAGAAGTCACAACTGGAATCATGAATCAAATTTACTTCCTATTAGCAGTTTCTAAAGATCCACTAAAATTCTTTAATGCTTCTTCACAGTAAGGATGTGACCCTGTGCTCTACAAAGCTGTCCTAGTTGGGATCAAATTGTCAATTCTAAGGATGGAGGTATGCCTACTTTTGAGGATCAGCCAAGACACGTTTGGAAAGGCTCATTACCATGGTAGCAACAGAAGCAAAGCATTTTTCAGTTACAGCAGCTCTTGAGGACCATTTACTAAAGTTAGAAAGTGACTTCAATGGGCCTTGCTGGAGGGAGTATCCACACTAATTTACAGATCCTTGAAATACTTTTCTAAAGCCAGAGTGCTCCAATGTTAAAAAGACGAAGAGAGAATTGAAATATCTGTCCTAATACTTGCCCTAACTTTAAAAAAAAGTTTAATTTGCTCATCACCTAAATACACTAAGAAAGGGAAGGAAATTACTCACTGGCTCACCTAACCTTCCATTTAACCTATCTTTAGCCAAACTAATCTATCATTGTTCCCCTTACAAGCCATGTGGAATATGATCTCTACTTTTTCTCACATAAGTCTCTCATTTTGAAGTATCTTCCTCTCTTTTCTGTTGAGCAATGTCTTAACCTTACTTGAAAACCATTCCCCTTCTAGCCTGTCTCAGAAGATGAGGTGTCCCTATTCTTTACTATGACTAATTCTTCTTGTTTCTTACAGGACCATTCTCCAAACAATCACCTCTCTTTTGACACAGATTTTTAACCTTTCCTTCTTTGATTAATATCTGCCTTGAAATATGTTCAGGTCTTCCTAATCCTAAGAAATCCTTTTCCATATTCCTTCAATCCCATCAATACTTGATACTTCGACTATTTCACTATTCACTCAACTTCTTGCAATCTGGCTTCCATCTCCACCACTGCACTAAAATTACTTTTTCAAAGGTCCCTACTTCTTGATTGATCAATTGACCAACTAATAATATGCCTACTAATGTATTTAAGGCACTATATCAACAAATCTAATGACATTTTCTTAGACCTCATTCTCCTTGACCTCTCTGCAGCTTTTGATACTACCGCTCTATGAACTTCCCGAGACATTATACCGATTTCCCTTGGAAATCATATTCCTTTTCATAATTTCAATAGTAACCTCTAAATACAATTCCTTATCCCATAATTCCAATCTAAACTTTGTCCTGAGCTTCAGATGGGAATGTTAAACTACTGCCAGAGCTTTTTTTTTATCTATATTAACTACTAGCACCTCACCTTAACATATCTAAAATTGAACTTTTCTTTCCCCCTAAGTCCTATCAGTGAGACCACCATTCACTCAAGCAATGCTTGAAACTATGGTCTTATCTCTCATTTTCGCCTATTTTTTTTGTATGTACCTCTGAAATCTCTCAACTATGTCCCTTACTCTCTTATCTACCTCAAAGATTATGAGGAAAGTACTTTGTAAATGCATATCCAAAGGCATGTTATGGTTGTTATTATTATTACCACTTTTACTGCCCTAGTCTGGATTATCTTTCCTACCTGGATGGACTACTACAATAGCCTAACTAGTTTTCTGAAATCTATTTTCTTTCCACCAATCCATTCTTCACACCCCTTCATGACAAATCTATAAGCACAAATCTAACCTAGGCATTTCTCTGCTCAGAATCCTTCAATGACTCCTAATTGCCTACCACATAAAACTCCAACTCTCACACTGGGAGTTGTACTACTTATCAAGGTTGTCCAGAACTGGATGCCATTCTATCTTCGTCGTCTCATCTTTAACTACTTACTTCTACAGGCATGTTTTTGGCAACTGGGACTTGTACCATTACTCTGCCTTTGTTCATGCCATTTTCTATATATGAAATGCCCTTCAGCCCTACCTCTGCTTGATGAAATCCTTTCTTATCCTTTAAGGCCCAGCTCAAATCAATGTCCTATCTTTTTCTCCTAAATACAGTTTCCTCCATTTCTTCTATTACCCCTACTATGAGCAAAGACAATGTCCCAGAGATCTTGATAAGCACCTGGTTTGTTCCTTTTTATGTAGTTTTTTGTATCATTTTGTATCATAGTTATTTGTATTTGAGTGTCTATGAGACTGAAGCAAGCTCTAAAAGGGTGGGGGCCTCTTAAACTTTTGTATCTCCCCTAATACCCAGCACAATGTTCTACACAGAGCAGCCATAACTGTTTCCTGAGTATAGAATGAATAAATGTTAAAGACATCCTAAACAGAGGGGTGACAACTGGTTTCATTTTAACCTAAAATTAGAAGCCTAGGGAAAATGGAAAAGAAAAGATACTATACCACACTGAGAGGCTGACAGGTAAACTGAGCCAAGCTCATACTCATTAGCCCTCATTCCCACCGCAAACACCACCACCAGTCCCTTCCTTTCTGTCTTTTCCATCATCTTTGCCCTCCCCTCTTCTTCCTTTCTTATATGTCTTATCTGGATCCTCTCACCTTCCTTTTACTTTTGTGCCCTTGCCTCCCTTCTCCCTCTTTCCTGCTCTCCTCTTCCATTCTCCCTTGTCCCCCAAGCTCTCCCATTTCCATTATCCTTATCATCCTGCTCTCCCCTTCCTTTCTCCCTTATTACCCTCCCCTCTCCTTCTCCCTCGTGATCTCCTTCTCCTCTTCTTTCTGCCCTTGTCTCCCACCTCTTCCTTTTCCTCTTCTCTGGTTCTCCCCCCTTCTCCTTGCCTTCTCCCTGGTACTACCTTCACCTTCACCCTTCCCTTCTCCCTGGGTGCCCCAGTCCCCTTTTTCTTTGCTTCTCCCTGCCTCCTCCTCTCCCCTTTCCTTCTCCTTTGCCCTCTTCTTCTCTCCTCCTCGTCCTGGACTTCCCTCTCTTCTCCCTTCTTTCATTTCCCCTTCACTTCCTTTCTCTTCTTCCCTTCTCCCTCGTCTCCCTCCCTTCTTTCTTTTTTCCCAGATTCCCTCTTCCCTCTTTTCTCCCCTTTTCCCTTATCCCTCTGCTCCCTCTTTTCCCCTTCCTTCTCCCTCGTCTCCCTTCTTCTCCCGGTCCTCTGGACCCGCTCCTCCGTTTCCCTTCTCCTTGTTCCCTTGCACGCTCCTCTCCCCTTCCCTTCTTCCATTCCCTTCTCTTCCTCCCTCCTTTCCCCTGCTGTTTTCCTTTTTCTTCCTTCCTGGTCCCCCTCCTCCTCTACTTTTCCCCGTGTCCCCTTGGCCCCTCCCTTCCCGTTCTAGTCTCCTTCATCCCTCCTGTTCTTTTTCCCTCTCCCTCTTTCTGTCCCCTCCCCCTCCTCGTACCCTCTTACTCTTCCGGCCAGCTCGCACCCCCTTAGGCTCCGAGTTCTTTGCACACTGCCGGGTGAAGCGCGCGCCCACTCTACGTCCAGCCCAGTTAGGTTCCTTCCAGGAGACGGGTCGCGCTCTGGGACATCTCAGTGGCTTCGCCTCCGCCGCACACTGCGCTTGCGCAGCGTCTGTCAGCAGCACCTGCAGCTCTCTCGGTTTCCTGCTTCCAGGGCGGCGCATCCGGGTCACTTCAGTGGTGCTGCCGCTGCTGCGGCTGCAGCTGCTTTTCCTTCTGCTCTTGGGACCGCCGCATTCCCCTGGATCGGCTGGCCAGCGAGGAAGGGGCTCCCAGCTCTAGAGGTGAGGCCACTCTCGCCCCTTCCTCCCTCCAGCCCCCTCGGCTGCCAGTTCTGCTGGTCTCCCCGAGAGCCAACGGGTTTCTCCCTCTATTTCGGCCCGCAGGTTGAGCACTCACCGGCACTGAGTGACTGAGTAATCGACGGACTGACGGGCCAGGCCTTGGGTGAGCATCTGTCACCCCCCCCCCATCCCCGGATCCCCCGGGCTTCTCACGGTTCCGTTGTCTTGGCGGCGGGGTTACCCTGAGCTCCTGTCAGGGACGCTGGGTCTCCCTTGTCAGATCTCAATCCCATGACCTGGACTTCTCCCCCTTCTGTCGCCCCGAATCCCAGCTTTGGGGATTGGGGGCTCCCTGTGGGAAAGGTTCTGTTGGGGTCAGCTCCAGGAAAGCGTCGGCAGGGCTGGGGGGAGGGGGAAGCTTATCATCTTTCTAGTCCCAGGTACTGCCCTCTAGGCTAGGAGAGGTAACTCGGGGCCTGCCTGGAACAATAATCTAGGATTTGGGAGAAGAAAGTTCTGGGTTCTAATCCGCGCTCTAATGGGTAGCCTTGGAGCAAATCTGTATACTAATGGTTGATGGTCTGCAAATTTTTGCAAATCCCTCTTATTATCTCTTCCATTTTGCTTGTCTTTTGATCTACTCACCATTGTGGCCCCCTCCCCTCTTTAGAATGTAAGCTTTTGGAGGGGGAGGTGTTGATTATTAGTTTTCGTATACCCAGAGGCTAGTTCACTACCTTGTACCAAGTTGTCATTTAATAAATACTTTTTGATCGACTGATGCTCTCAACCACCTGGTGAGGTAGGCAAATATTATTACCCCCTTTTTATTGTTGAGGAAACCAAAGTTCTATTAAGTAGCTTGCTAGGCTCTTGTGCCAGAATTATAATTCAAATCCAGATTTCTCTTGGCTCTTCACTCAGTCCACTACACCATATAGTGTCCACATATTTTAACTGTGTGTGATACCTGTTCTACCTACATTAATAACAGCTAAACTTTATATAATACTTTTAGGTTTGCAAAGCACATATCTTGTTTGATCCTTAGATTAGTCTAGTGAGATAGATGCTATTAATGTACTCATTTTACATATGAGGAAAGTGAGGCTGAGAGGTTTAAGCAACTTGCCCAGAGTCATATTTACTAAGTTTCTGAAGCTGAATTCGAACTGGAATATTTCTGGCTCACTGCTATTTACAATACTATCTGCCACCAAAAAAGGTGATGTGGGTGGAAGTGCAGAACATGTTATGCAAACGTATCATTGCTATTGAGCTTTCTTTGTTGTAGAATGTAATTCTTTTTAGACACTATGTGCAAATAGAAATTGTTACACGAGAATAATAATGTTACTTTATTGAAGACTTTCTGGGATTTTAAAAAGTGAAGATTATTTTGAAACAATAGTAAACAAAATATCAAAAAGTTTTGTTCTTTTAGCTTTTAAACCAATATTTGACGCTTGTTAAATATTGGGGTTTCTTGGATGTGCCTTTGCTTTTTAATAAAGGTATTCTTTTGGTAAATACACTGACTTCACAGACATAGGCCAACTCAGTATGATTTTGAGGAAATAATGTTCATGTAGTATTAGGACTCTAATCAACACATTTTAAACTATTAGTAGGTATTATAGAAACTAACTTTTTCAGAGGTCATCTTAACCGAGACAAAATTGTTCCATTTTTCATCCTTATTACATCCTTGCCGATAGGCTGATAGTGAAAGTTAATAAGTATATTATGCTTTGTATAAGACAAAAAATACATACTCCCCTACATGCCTTGTATTTTGTTTTAGACCTTTGGTGTCAGTAACTTGTTTTAAAATAAATCAGTTGGAGTTGTTTTAATTAGTGCCATATCTTTTTCTCATGTTTATTCTTCCAGCCTTCTTTGCTCTAACAAGTTGGTGGTCTGATGGTACACAGACAGCTGATTGAGGAATGACTCCCATATCAGTAAGGAGTCATTGCCTGTGTGTTAAAATATAATTAATTCATTTTTGTGATGTTATTCAGTGCTCTCCATGTCCAGCCTTCTCAGTCTTAAATAGAGTGTGTTCATGATGTACAGGCGTGAAACTTCTGGAGAGATAACAAGTTTTGATCTCTCAAGTTCCCTACTCCTCAACCATACTTTCTAACAGATTATTCAACTGTCAATCAGTCAATCAATTCATAAACATTTATTAAGAACTCTTCTATGTGCCAAGTACTGGGGATATAAGACAAAATGTCTTAAAGAACTCATATTTCAATGGTGGGGGGGAGAGGAGTGTTTACAAAGGAAATACAAAGTAATTTGGGGGAGGCACTAGCAGTTCCGGAGGGGATCAAGACAGCCTCATCTAGGAGATAGCACTTAAACTAAACCTTGTAAGAAGCTAAGGCTTCTGAGAGGTGAAGGTAACGAGAGAGTTCATTCCAGGCATAGTGGACAGCCTGAGCCAAGGCATGGAAATGAAAAATATATTGTTGTGTAGCAGGAACTGAAAGTAGATTAGTTTGGTTGGAATGTAGAGTACGCGAACTATGATCTATACAAGACTTATGAACTTCTCCTTTTGGGCCGACCTCTATCTTTACATGACTCCCTACATGTATGGATTCAAAGCCTTAACATACTGTGATCACATAAATCCTGTACAGTATGTACCCTCTTTGTCCAACCATCTCCCCAGCCTCCTCTGGCTTTATCTGCAAATCATTAGATATGTGGTGGTATTCCCCAACCACAGAAACTCCATGGAAAGGAATAAGTAAAGATGTGTTTCAAGATCATGAATTGTAAACAAGGAAAAGAAGTGAGAGAAATCAATCTCCCCTCCTGCTCCTCATTACAATGGGATTTATAATAATAGCTGATAGTCTTGGCACATAGACCATTGTGGTTCATTGTGGTTCTTGTCTCCATGTCTGCTCTAGGATCAGAATTGGCTCCACATTGCTGGTCTCTAGAAGTTGCCTTCACTGGCAGTGCAAAAAATGTGGTGGTACCCTCCCCTGTGCCCACCTTTTACACTGAAGTCACTAAATGTCAAAGTATATGTTGATTTAATTTAGCTCTCTGTAGGATTTCTTTTTTACTTCATCTCTTTGTAAGAGATGTTAGCATATAAACCATAGTCATTTTCATGGTAGTATTTTTGCAAATACTTTTCATGAGCACTTATTTCAATAGAAGATGACCAAATAAATGCCCCATGAAATGATATTTCTTGTTGCCTTTGGGTATACCATAAAATCAACTTCTACTCTTTTGTTTGTCTCTCCAAAGTTTTAAGAAGATTAGTAAATCAAGGATATGTGATGAAATTCAGACACTTTAGTCAGATATGATTCCCCATGTTTGTGATCATACCATTATCTCATTGCACTGCTCAAAAAACTCCTAGTGATTCTCTATACCTCTAGGATATGTAATCTAAACTACCTTACCTCTCCCTCTTTATAGAGTCTGGCTCCAATCTACCTTTTCAGCTTTATTTCACATTACCTTCCTTCATGTACTCAATACTCTAGCTATATTAGATTATGACCTGTTAATTCAGCATGACATCTGCTTCCACATATTCATATAAGCAGTCTTTTGTATGTCAAATAAGTTCCCTATTCATTTCTGCCTCTTAGAATCTTTAAAGTTTTGGCTCATGGCTCAGGTACCACTGTTTTCTGTGAAGTCTTTTCTGCTCCTACCAGCTGAAGGTGTTTTCTTCCTCTTCAAATGTTCCTAGACAATTGTTTTCTTGGTCTAGATTTCCTACTTTGCATGACATTCTATCTTGTATCATACGTATCGTTTTATATGTTGCATCTCTCTTGAAGGTGCACTGTGTTGTGTTTTATTTTTGATACATAGACTCCTAGCACAGT